GAAGCATCAGCCGCTGGTGAAGAACAACCTATCTGCTGGGCCGCGCCCCTCGGCATTAGGTAGCTTTGCCCGTCCCATCTGGGAGCCCTGCTTTGCTCTGGACCAAGGCGGTGAGGGGGTCGGGGACACGGGAGCCACTGTGCTGGGGCCCCTGAGCCTCCTGGAATTGGGGGGCTTGGAATGAGAGTCAGGCTGGGTCAGCAGGTGCCTCCTGAGTCTGCGGGGCTGTGCCCAGGCCCTGGTGCTGGGTGTGTGCCAAGATGCAGTGAAGAATCAGATAGGTAAGAATTCCAAACCCAGCTCTCTAATTAGTTGAGGGATCTTGGGCAAGACTTTTGGCTAAGGATCTAAAGATGAGAGTTCTGCTCTGAGGGCAATTGAGAAGATTCAATGAGGTGCTACATGGGAGTTCAGGGCACATCTGGCAGCTCACTAAGGGGCACCATTATTTAACTGGTCTCTTCAGGGAGGGCTTCCTGGAGGAGGTGGCAACTGAGCTGTAACTTACTGCTGGGGAAGCACTGATTAGAGATGGTATGCGAGGAAGTGAGGAAGAGGGATGAGGAGGCGAGGGTCTGAGTGAGAAAGGTGGGTGAAGAGGTTAAGCAGGCCTCCTGCTGGAGTTGAGGCCGTGGGTCAAGGAAGAGGCAGAGGCAGAGCAGCCCCAGGACCCTGCTCTCCCTGTGAGTTCAGTGCTCTCCCTCCGCACTTGCCTGGAGTCATTTCATAGACAGATCTTACCTCTCTCCTCCCTCCTGCGTGTACACAGCTACATGGAATGTTAGGACCCCGGACTGTCACGGGACGAGCCCCTCGAAGACATCTAGTCCAACCTTCTTTACAGAGGAAAGTGCAGCCCAGAGAGGCAGCCAGGCTGGATCCAGGCCTCCTTGCTTTTCTGACACGCCTGGTGGAGGACTTCCCTGGTGGAGGAATCGTCTCCCTCTTAGTTGAAGGAACAACGTCTTTTCTGAAATAGATCTGATACTTGCCAGTCCTAACCAGAGTGTCCATTCTGTGGTCTGAGGTCAAGTCTTTGTAACTCCCCTCCCCGACACCACAGTGTGAGGAACCCTAGGCAGGCACCCACTTTTCTTCCTGTGACTGTTCTCAGCTAGGTGCTGGGCCGCTGGGATGGTGCCGGGAGGCTGTGTTGTTGGTGCCTCCCCTCGCTGCACTGGCCTGGCACGGGCTTAAAAGATGCTGGCCGAGCCGAGGGGGGTTGGATCATTAAAGGCACAGCTGAAGCATCAGAGATTCTGTGCCTCCCACCTGCTCTGTGGAGAGCTGGAATCAATTTTAAGAAGCTGCTTCTGAAGCTGTGTGGAGTGTTTAATGAAGGCTTGGGGGCTGTCACTCAGGGGTTCTCAGCAGAAGTGCTGTCCCTGTGGAGGTAAGGGGCTGGGGAGTGTCAGGATCCTTTTTTTGATTGTCCCATCTCGGGGGTCAGGGTGTGCCATGCCCTGCAGTGAGTAGGCTACATGATGAAGACTTGTCACCCAAAGTGCCAAATAGTATCCCCCTACTACCAGGACGTGTGGCCAGAAATAGCTGGTCCATGGGGCAGCTCCTGGTGACGTCATTCTGGGAGAGTTCATGAGCTTAGAGTCCACTTAGAGGCCGTTAGTGTTCGCATCCCAAAGGGAGAAAACATCTGTAAATCATCCATCCTTAATACCAAGGCCCAACCCCACTGCCTTCTCCGCTTTGATAGTTTAATAGGGGTTTTAGAGGAGCTGACATCTTAGTCTTAGTGGGAGCTCTTCCACCGGCTCTTGAGGATAGATGTTTGGGGAGGCGAAGATGTGGTTCTAACTGGAACAAAGATAACAGAAGCTGCCCAAGAGGTTGCGGGGGTCCAAGGGGCCCACCTGTTTGAAAGCTCTTTGTAAACAAAGTACTTCTCGTTTTTTAACTTTTGAACCACTTGATTTTACTCAGTCAGTCTAAAGAAGAGGTAGCAATAATTGTGGATGACTTTCAAGAGACTCTAAAGCAGTAATTCTCACACTGCGCTCGCCTAGGCATAGCCCGGATGCTTGTGAGTGCTGTGTCCTCTCATCTCTGGAGATTTGATTCCATAGGAGTGGACAATTTTCACAAGCTCCTGCTAGTTCTGTCCAGCTTTCTCTCAGGCCAGGTCTAGAGTAACATTGCTCTAAACCCGCATTAGTCAGCCCTGGAGTGGTTTAGAATCACCAGGAGCTCAGGGGAGGTGGGGGGGCGTCATCAGGATGCATTCCCTCCCCCCACCAGCTGGGGTTCTGGTTTCCTGGGGATGGGGCTACATCCGGGAATAGTTTTAAATTTTAAATTTTTATTTGATTGATTGATTGATTGATGTATAGTCAGTTTATAATGTGTCACGGTTTAACATGTAGCTCTAAATGTAGGGGGGATTTTGTGTCAAAAAAAAAGTATAGTAACGAATTCTTGATATTTTGGATACCCCAAGAACATATCATGAGTCATGCTCATGCTGCTCTCTAGAGTGGGCAGGGATGACTCATGAAAAGCAGTGGGTACCAGCTTCTGGTCCCCTTGAGATTTTTAATCTGAAATTAGCTTTCAAGGCTGGGGTGGGGAGAGGGGCACAGGTGGATCAGTACTGCCTCCAAGTGGTGAAACTGCGGTGATGGCTGAAATGCAGCTGCGGCTTGTCTGCAGAAACCCCTGTTCCTCTATTGGAACGTGTAGATAATGATGGTGATGATGTGGGTCTCGGTGGCTACCATTTATTGGACCCAAATTCTGTGCTTTACGTATATTCTCTTTAGTCCTGATCAAACCACCTTCCAGAGTAGATTTTATTACCCTGCTGTAAAGGTGAAGGAGGTAATTAAGGCTTAGAGAGCTAAAGCTCAGACATTTGCACAACTTTGGAATGAAATATTTACAGAGGATGACAGGATACTTCCTTAAGCCCAGATACTTTACTAGATGCTAAAACCCATTGTAAAATTGTGATTTAAAAAAAAATGACAAATAAGTGTTCTCCAAATCAAGGGAATGTTTCATGGACGCTTGCCCTAGTGACAGCCTAATCTATACTCTGAATGTTGCCTAGGTATCTTATCCAACTCTGGGCCCCCCAAAAAGCGCCACAAAGGGTGGTCTCCAGAATCTCCATCAGCTGCAGACGGCGGCTACCCCCAGGGTGGTGGGAACAGAGCTAAGTATGGTAAGTGGCAATAGCCTTGCCCCAAATCCAAGGCTTGGGTACTAGTGGTGGTGGTGCCACTGGCTGTGTGTGTGTGTGTGTGTGCGCACACTTTTGTGTATATTGGCGAGAAAGTTCTATGGAGACAGGGCTGGGTATAATAAAAGACTCTCTTTCTTATATATTAGACTTGTTTAACAAAGCCCAGGATCCCTACACAGTATTGAACTCCCTGATCCTAGAGGAATTAAAAAATAGCTTACCTGTCACTTGGCAGGGCTATTAAAGAGGAGGAAACAGGTTGTTTGGTGGGGAAGGTTGGACCCAGGGACCTTAATGCGGCTTTTGACCGTAGGAATCTGCGATTCCCAGGCTGGGTGCCCCTGGAGATGGGGAGAGGGTCCACTTGAGGCAGATCTGTTGGCTGGTCTGACGTCAGATCTGCCAGAGGCAGATTCCTTGTCTGATGTATCTTCCTAACGCTCTTGGCGTGTTTCTAGAGAATGCAGGCATGACCTGCATGCCCCAGGTTGGCTTGGTGGGACCGGCCTCAGTCACCTTTCCCGTCGTGGCCTCCGGAGAACCAGTGTCTGTTCCTGACAACTTGCTGAAAATATGCAAGGCCAAGCCGGTGATCTTTAAAGGCAAGTACAGCAGTGTGACAAGTGGTGGAGGTCAGGGAGCCCAAGGAACACTCGAGAAACACTGACACGTCGTTCCAGTCTGAGTCCATGCCCAGGGTGTCCTCCTAGGAAAACTCAAAAACTCTTTCTAGAGCAATGGAAGAGCTAAGCAGACCAGTCACTGGGGTGGCCCCTGACCAGATGCCAAGTGTGGCAGAGCTTGTCACAGTTTCCATGACAAGCCTGGGTGAAGTGGTCCTGTTCTGTGATGCCCGAGTGCTTGTTCATTTGTTCTTTCAATTAGTCACTCCCCCAGCCACACTAGGCCCCTGTCACGGAAACAGGCCCAGGGCTGAGCACCACGGAGAAGGGTACCAGCCCCTTGCTGATTTACCAGACCCTGGGCTGGCGGGTTGTCCTGTGGCCACTGGTATTTTTTGACTATGAAATCTGACTTTGATTGTGCAAAGGTGGCCATGGTCACCACGCAGAAGCATAAAACAAGACCAGATTGGATCTCTGTTCTGTGTCAGTGGGCTCATGGCTGCTGGCGGAGATAGATTTGTGGCTCAGCTAAGGAAATCCCGTTCTAATGAAGTGAGAGCCCTTGGAATGTGAGGGTTCAGTGGACTTGTTTTATGATGGTGCTCGCCGGTGCTGTGTGCTGGCATGGGGTCACACACACACAACCACAAACACATACACGCGTGCACATACAATCAGGTCCTTCTTAAATAAGTCAACACCGTATTTGGTATCACATTTTGGGGAATAGAGAAGAGAGGGTGGAAGTAAACTAGGAGAGGTATCTTACCATTAATTAAGAAATAAGAGAGAGCAAACCTTTCTTTTTTCCTAAAAAAACCAAACAATGGGCAGGGTGTAAATCTGGGTTTTAAACTGGATGTCAGGCAGGGCCAGGAATCCCATTGGGCCCTATTGGGTAGCTACGATGAAGGTCAACATTCAATTACTTTCTTTTTTTTTTAATAGAGGTACAAGGGATTGAACCCAGGACCTTGTGCATGCTAAGCACGTGCTCTGCCACTGAGCTGTACCCTCTCCCTTCACCCCCCATTACATATTTTCTTTACATGGTTGTATGTCAGTGGTAGGCCAAGGAACACAGAAAACAGAGCAAGGCAGGACTGGAGGACAACCCTACTTGGTGTAATATGATTGGTGAACAAGCAAGACTAGCCAGGAGCCTCAGGGAAGTTGGGGTGGGGGTCCGGCAGACCTGCGTCCAACAGCTGATGATCTCAGATTGAGACCATCTCTGCTCCTCACGTCACTGCACTTCCCACACCTCGGTTAAGCCGCCCTCCTCTTTGTAACTTCTGTGCTTCCCGAGCTCCTTTCCCTGTACCATCTGATCAAACCCCACTTGTGCTGTAAGACCCAACCCAGTGCCTCCTCCAGGAAGCCGCCTCAGATTCCCTTTAATCTGGGCCCCTTTGTAGCTTCTTTTTGCCTCCTTTATGACAAATAGCATACTCTTCCTTTAATAGTGATTCTTTATGTTGCTTCTTTTAAACCATAATATTCGTGAGCAGTGCTGCCCACATTGTGGTCCCTGGATGAGCAAGACCAGCGTCACCCAGGACCTTCTTAGAGGAGTGAATTCCTGGGGCCATCCCAGAGTCAGAGTCAGGCCCCCTTCCTGAATCAGAAGCTCTGTGGTGGGGCCCAGCAATCTGTGTTTTAGGAAAGCCTGTCAGGGGACCCTCATGCACCCTCAGGTTTGGGAAGCAATTTCCTTGAGGTCGTAAACTATGTCTCCATCACCAGATTTTCCTGCAGAGCCGAGCATGATGCCTGCACACAGCCCACAGCCCACAGGGGCATCCAGTAAGTGTGTGTGTGGTGAATACATGGAGATCTTCCGAGTACAGGATGCCACACGCACACCTGCATATTTGATCATCTTTGCAACCCCATGGGGATTTGATATCGTCACCCCATTTTACAAATGTGGAGACCGAGGCTTAGGGAAGTTAAGCTGCTTGCTTAGGGTAATATAATTAATAAATGGTGCAGAAGTGATTTGGACCTGGCCTGGGCTCTCCAGCCTCTGAGAGTTGCCATTAGAATTAATCTTGTAATGGTTGCTAAAGTTTTTGTCACATTCTGTCGGTATTTGGAGTCTCTAGTCTGTTCAGTGATGTATTTTTCTAACTCAGCTTGCCAGAGAGTCCTGGGGTGGGAGGCTGGGAGGCAGACTCCAACAGCGGGAGCTGGGCAGGGCCGGGCCGGCACAGGCCTGGCAGAGAGCTGGAAGGTACTGCCCATGTGGAGTTTCTAGGGTCAGAGCCAAAGGAGCAGCCCAGGTGATGGCTGTTCGGCTTTGGTGGTTCTGTCTGGGCCCTGGCTCGCTCAGCTATAAAGTAAGGGATTGGACTAAATGAACCAGCAAATGGTACAGCCCCGTCAGGTATCAGAGCAGGTGCACAAGTCAGCAAGGGCTGGGAGTTCTAAATTTCCCCGAGCAGGAGCACTTGAGTTACCCCAGGTGCAACTAGCCTGCATGCTTTTGTTCTCTTGAATTCAGAGACCCCCCCCACATGTGGGGGCCACATGTTGTGCCTAAGGCCATTGCCAGGCAGACACTGTGTTCTTCTCCCCCCAGGTCACGGCAACTTCCCATACCTCTGTGGGAACCTGAATGACGTGGTCGTGAGCCCTCTCCTGTACACGTGCTACCAGAACTCCCAGTCCATCTCCAGGGCATATGAACAACACGGGGCCTCCACCATCCAGCCCATCTCAGAGGAGATGCAGCTCCTGCTCACCGTCTACTATCTCGTCCAGCTGGGTGAGTCTCCTCCCATTTTGTGGGAACCACTGGCAGAATAATCGCACAAGCCTTGCTTGCTGACCATCACTCAGAGCCCTTGTGAAGCTGCCTCTGTTACCAGGTCCTGTGGTGGCCACCCCTCCACCACCCACCCCCGAGGGTCTGAAGGTCAGGATCTCCAGTGAGGATTCAATAATGATTTCCCTGCCATTCTAGGTGCAGAGGTAGAGCAGGAATAAAACACAGGCTCTGCCCTCAAGGAGACTGTGTTCTAGAGGGAGAGAGAAACAATGGACAAGTGGAAAGTAAACTGAATGAAGATGGGGTGGATGTCTGTGGGGCTGATTCAGGAAAGGCCTCTGTGAGGAGGTGGCGTTTAAGTGGAGAGTGATGAGAAGGAGCTGGCCTTGTGAGGAGCTGAGGGAGTCAGAAGAGGGGAAGAGAGGTGAGGGCCTCGGGGCGGGAGGGAACGAGGAGCCCCAGGTCAGTGGGAGCCAGAGCGTCTTCAGAGTGAGAGCATGAGGGCAAGGGTGCCGTCAGAGAGGGGACAGGGCCTCAGGCTAAGGTCGGGAGTTCATATTTTATTTTTTTTAATTGAAGTATAATTGATTTACAATATTGGGTTAGTTTCTGGTGTACAACATAGTGATTCATTCATGTATACATATATACATACACACACACACACACACACACACACACACACACACACACTATTCCTTTTTATATTCTTTTTCCCTATTGGCTATTACAAGGTATTGAATATAGTTCCCTGTGCTATGCAGTAGGACCTTGTTGTTTAAGAGTTCGTATTTGAGACCCACTGAGAAATAACTTGTATCAGTCAGCTCAGGCGGCCATAACAAGATATCTCAGACTGAGGGGCTTAAACAGCAGCGATGAATTCTGTCCTGATTCTAGAGGCTGGAAGTCTGAGATCCTGGTGGCAGGCTGGTTGGGTTCTGGGGGTCCTCTCTTCCTGGCTTGCAGATGGCCGCCTTTGCGCTGTGTCCTCCCGCGGCCTTTCCTTGGTGTGTGTGTGTGTGGTGGGGGACGGAGAGGGAGTTCCGGTGTCTCTTCCTCTTCTTAAAGGGCCACCGGTCCTACTGGATTAGGGCCCCACCCTTCTGACCTCCCTTAACCTTAGCTACTTCTTTAGAGGCCCGTTGCCAAATATAATCACGCTGGGGGCTAAGCCTTCAACATAGGAGATTGGGGGGAACACAATTCAGTCCATAGCTCCCCTGGAGCACTGTAGGCGGATGTGATCTGACTGTCATTTCTAGAAGACCACGTGCAGCAGATGGTGCAGGGGTGGTGCCGCCGTCCCAGTGAAGGCAGGTGGTGGCTTGGGCCACTGAGGGGCACAGGGGAACGATGCCAGATATATTCTGAAGGTGAGCATGGTGGGCTGTCTGTCTGAGGGGGCCAGGGAAGGAGGGGACTTGCGTTTTGGCCTGAGCAGCCAGGTAAGCTGTGGAGCTGAAGGATGAGCGAAAAGCTCCATCTCAGCAATTTCAAGTGTGAGCTGCTGGTGGGATGGCCACAGGGGCTGAGTCAAGGATTTGGGTGGGCAGGTCTTGAGCCTCAGGGAGATGTTGCAGCTACAGATTTAGGATACGTGGGCTCAGGGATGATCTGTGTTAAAGTGGTGAGACTGGATGTGAGCCTGGGAGTGGTGATGGATGGAGGAGGGCACCAAGGTTTGAGCCCTGGGACACGCAACATTCAGAGACCTGGAGGAGACAGAGGGAGCTGGGAGAGGGGGAAACCTCCAGGTCAAGAGTCTGGAAACATGTGTAAGTGTTCTCTTTCTCACTCTCACTCACAATCCACATACATACACCGGTAGGCTGGTCCTCATCCTGAATCCAACCTTGCCCACCCTCTCCATCACTGCCTCCCTTGCCCAGGGCACCACTCTTCCCCACTATTCTCCATGTCTGTTAAACTGTGAATCCAATCATATATTTTCTCTGCTCAGAGCTCTCCAGTGGTTTCCCATCACGTGCTTAACCCGCACAATGTTCCAGGGCCCAAGTGACGGGCCCCACCTCCTGCTCCCCTCTGCTCCCTCTGCTCCAGCCCCACGGTCCCTCCCTAGCCCACCAATCTTGGTCCCATGCAGGCATCTTGAGCCTGCTGTTCCTTCCCTGAGAAATGATCTTGCCCCAGGACATTTGCATGACTCACTTCCTCCTGTCATCCGAGTATCACTTCACATGTTACCCCATGTCACCTTCTCAGAGAGGCCTTATCATTATCGTGGGTAAGACAGCATTGCCCCCTCCCCAGACCCCTCTTCTCTTTTACCCGTTCACTCAGAGCACTACACTCCCGAAAATTATACTGTGTATCTGTTTAAGTCCACCTCCCCATTTAGGATGGAAGCTCTGTGAGATCAGGAATGTTCATCTCAGTCACTTGTGTGTGTCCAGTGGCAGAAAGCTGGCACTCAGCCAGGAGATGTTGAAGGAACAGATAAATATTGAATCAGAAGCTGGTGAAGCAAAGCATTTCAGGGAGAGGGACCAGTCAACTGAGGTAGTGGCCAAGAGTTGAGTGTAGACTGGTTATTGACCATTGGCTTTGGGCACGTGGAAGCCATTGGCAACCCTGATGGTGATGTATGAGGAAGCTGGAGACAAGACCGTATTGGGTTATGTGGGTTAGAGAGCATGGAGGTGAGGAAACAAGAATGGTGGCAAGTGCAGACAGCTCTCCCAGAGCTTTGCTGGGTGGTGGTTCTGGAAGGGGATGTGGGCTCCAGGGAAAGATTTTAAAGACAGGAGATAGAACAGCTTATCTAATTGAATTTTGGCACAGCCCCATGAGTAGGCATTATGACCCCCATTTTTTCCTATCAGAAAACTGTATCTTAAGAGAGCCCAAGGCTCCACAGCTGGTGCTGGGTGGGGCTGGATGGAGCATGTCTCCTAAATCAAAGCACAGTGCTCCTTCCTCCAGCTCATCCAATTAAAAAATTTGGACATATAAACCAGAAAATACCTGTAGGAAACGAATGTGGAAAGTATCCAGTCTCCCTAGTTATCCAAGAGGTACAAAATTAATAAATCAAACAGGCACTGTTTTTCTCTGTTAAATTAATGATAACCCAAACAGTGGCATCCGGTGGAGCTAAGGGTGCTGTGGAACGAGTGTTTATCACGTGTCATTAACGTCATGGTAAGTTGACACATTTAGACCACCTGGAAATTTGATGATACATGTTAGTCGGCTCTGTTTTGCACATTTAGGCTCAGGAAGTTAGGTCCTAGACATAAAGCTGTGTATTGCAGAAGTATTTATAAAGATGCTCATGTGGAAGCAATCCAAGGGTCAACAGTAGATCAACATGGCTAAGCCAGTGATGGCAACTCCGTGTTGTGGGACGTCACGTGCCCATTAGGAGTGCTATCTGTGAAGACCATAAATGTCCTGGAAACAAGACGATGGTGTGTGATGGTGAGGAAAGCAGACAAGCCCTGAAGTCCTACACTCACGATCACTACAGCTATTTATAACCTGCATGTGGGGGGAAAAAGACAAATACACAAAAATAGTAGTGCTTCTGTTAGGTTGGTGAGATTAGGGCTGCTTTTGTAGCCACCGCTATATTTCCCAGCAGTCTGTAATGCAGTTTAACATTCTTAGCTTAGATGGTGTTTTTTTAAAATTCGTTTACACGCATTTCCGCCGAATGGCCCCACCGTGTCTGTACGAAGCCGCCGCGTGGGGGGGCGCGCTGAAGCCTCTTCCTCCCGCCTTGTCGTTGGCAGCAGCCGACCAGGTGCCCCTGATGGAGGACCTGGAGCAGATCTTCCTGCGCTCCTGGCGCGAGTCGCACCTGACGGAGATCCGGCAGTACCAGCAGGCGCCGCCGCAGCCCTTCCCGCCGGCGCCCAGCGCCGTGGCCCCGGTCACCTCGGCGCAGCTGCCCTGGCTGG